CATAGGATAAAGCAGTAACATTTGGAATGTGCGTCCCCGAAGGGATGAGCTGCTAGAAAATTAATTATCTTCCCTGCTGCCTCTCTCAGCCTCTCGCCACCATTTATGGTAGCTTTCTTGAGTTTGTCTTTAATTTCTGCTGGTATAAAGTGATATCCACATCAGGAAGAATGGAAATAAGTAAAATAAAATAATCTATATGAAACCTGGGGTTTTTCCAGTAATCTGGAGCAGAGAAGTAACAGGAAGTGGTGGACGCTGTGGTATGTTTGGAAGATACTGATCTTGAAGTCCGGGGTCAAGGTTCAAGGCTGAGTTCTCCCTCTCACCCACGGGACCCTTGCGGGTCTCCATGAGGACCATCCATTGTCTAGTTTCTCTTCTGATGTATTTAGCACAGGGTCCACAGGGTCTACAGAGTCTCACTACACAGCTTGGACGTGTAGTGATCCTTCTGTTTTCAGCCACCCCAGCGCCAGGATTACAGGCACGTACCACCACTCCTGGACTCGGTGGCCAGCTCAGCGCACCCGGGGGTGGGACTGGCATGGCATGTGGTTCCGGGGATCGAACCCTGGCCACTGCACTCTGCCTAAGCAGGTGCTTTAGTCCTCTGAACTATCTGGCTGGCCCTTCTAATTTCTCACAGAGCACTGTACTGCAGCCCACCATGACTCACTGTGAGTGACCCAGGCACTGGACCATCCCTGTAAAGTACAAATGAATGCATGGAACTGGAGTTATCCCTACGCTAGCACATCATGTCGAGACACCCTCCCCTGGGAACCCTTCCCGTGACTGTCCCTGCCAAGTCCCTAGGAAAAGTCACTCCCAGCCGTCTGATGGCCAGGGCTTTGTGGGCTTCAGCTGCAGTCGCTGAGCCACGCTGCTCCTCTGGTCCTCTGACAAGCAAACATCTGCTGAGTGCTGCCAGTGCCTCGATGGTGTGCCGGGTGCTGGGGGCTAAGAAAGCAAGAGCAGTGTTTGCCTTCTCACAGACTACCTGGCCTCAGCAGCCGAGCTCCTCCCAAGCTGGTAGCTCAAACTGATTCCCAAACGCTTCCTGGTGCCCAGTTACACCCGTTGTGCAGCCTCTGCTGAATGTTGTGCTTCCTTTATCTAAACCCAGCAAGCTGAATGCTGTCCTTTCCAGGTGTCGCAGTGTCCTACCTCTGCCCAACTACAAAGGCCACCAGTATTTTCCCAAACTAAAAAGTATGGGTGATACAGCTAATTCTTCCTCTTTCAGAGCATTATGGCTAGCAGTTTCCAGTTCCCTTGGGCCACATGTCCACTTCCAGGACTGTGACAAAATACCTGGTACAAACAACTTAAGGGAGGAAAGAAGCACTAATTTGACTTGATTTCAAAAGTTTCTGTCTGTGGGCAGCTGACTTTAGGCCCTAGCGAGGCAGAAACATCACAGCAGAAGGGCATTCCAAGGAGAAGCTGCTCACCTCGTGCAGCCAGGAAGCAGAAAAGGGGGAGCGCGCCACACAAAAGGATGAAGGACAGGAGGCTGCAGCTCCTGAAGTTACGTCACCAGGACCATGGCCTTGAGCTGGGCCACACCTGCTGAGTGTGTACCACTCCTGCAGGTGGTTTTGAGACCATCAATGGATTAATCCATTACTGAAATGAGTGGATTTGTGTATCAGTGCAAATGCCCCATGATAAATCTGATCATTACATGTGGAAGAGAGAGAGAGAGAGACAGAGAGACAGAGAGAGAGAGAGAGAAGAAATTAGCACCCTCCTGATCTGCTCACTTTCCAAAACCCCACCTCTGAACAGGGGAGACTTCTGGGATATGTTTTACACACAAACCACCACATTCACTGCCTCTTGGGCCACTGCCTGCTTCTGCAGACTCCTAGTCCCCTACAGCCATGTGCCTTGGGTGACAGCAGCACACCATGGCTTGCCCTTGTTCCTCCAGCTGTCTCCTCTTCAGCTCACCCTGGACAGGGTTACGGTCTGCATCTTCCTCACCTGAGTACCCCAGCCCACTGCACCCATTCACCCTTCCTCCGAGGTTTCCGTGAAAGCAGGGTAGAGCGCCTACCCCTCCTGCCTGCATGGTGACTCAACATGACACCCCCAGTAGCTGAGATGTACCTCGTACCTCGGGGGTCAGTGATCATACCTGAATCGAGGCAGCTCCATTTTGCAAAGAGATGGACTTGGAAGTTAGTGTCACAGAGAAATGGCAGAGGTTGCCATAAACAACAGTAAAGAACAGGAGCTGAGGTTAGTGACAGAGCCTCTTAATTCTTCACACTGGGTAACAGCAGAGCCAGGAGCCCCACGGGACTGGTGTCCCTCCTGCTAATGGCACCCGGTTGGCGGAAGTAATGAGATGTTAACATTCCCAAATGGACAGAAGATAAACAAACACTCACTTTTTTCAACAGACAAGTTGCAGCATGGAAATTTTTCAGTTTTTCTCATTGCAAAATCAATATCCATCAGCAGTTTGAAATTAAAGGCAAGATTAGACCTCAGTTTTATACATGCCTTATTGTATTCCAAAGGCTTTCTACTCAGTCAGATAAATCTTCTTTAAGAGGATTAGGAAACTTTCATTATCTTTATCTAACCTGAACTAACACTAAGTCTGAAAAATTAATCTATAGACTGGACAAAAGCCGATAGCTACTGGGAAGAAGGAGAGCCCTTGGGCCACTCTCTCCCATGAACTGATGTCTTGTGAGCACCCCCAGCACTTCTGCGGGCTTCCAGAGGAAGAATGCATTACTGTATTGTCACCAGGAGCGAGAGGACACGGCACCCTGAGCTGCTCCTCTGGATGGAAAGAGCCACACTCCCAGACTTCAGCTCCAGGGCCTCCCTTCTCCCCCTACCCCACTGCACCTGATGGTTTGTACTAGGATTTCATGGGCCAACTCAGATGGCCAGAGCCAAGGTGGGTGGCACTGGGGACGTAGAGAGCGCGAGCTCCTCTTCGCCATGCCAGTCTGCACGTGCCCCCACCCTGTGACTCTTCTTGGCTTGAGACTAGAATGGGGACACCCCAGGTTTGCACTTCCTGCCTGAGGAATGGCTCAGATTACATTATGAAGGCCCTCGCCTTTGACGCCCTGTGCTGCAAGCCCCTTCCGGCCTGCATCGACTTTGCCGTGCATGCACGCTGGTTGTGATCCTGCAGAGTGATGGCCTTGCTCAGTTTGAGGCTGCTTCTGTGCAGGACCCAACAATTATTTTTTAGTTCATTGCCACGTCTCCAAAATGTGAAGACAACTTTGCTGTCAAGGCCATAGACGTGCCACTGAGGCATCACTTCCATTGCTAAGAAGTTCAGCTCCTCTGGAACTAGGCCCAGGTGACAGATGGGGTGGTGAGAACTCACAGCCCCAGTTCTCTACAGCCCCAGTCATTTGCAGCAGATACCCAGGAGACCCAACTGCTGAGCTAACCAGGAGCCTCCACCGTCCTTGAAAAAGGATCAGACGTGACTACCAGCTTCATACCCAGAAGGGGGCGCTCTCCTAACCGCAAAGAGTGCGGTCTGCCACACATGGGCAGGGTGTGTGTGGAGAATGGAGGCCAGCAGCACCTCTGGGTGTGCATAAGGTGGCCCCAGAGCCCTCAAAGCAGGCAGGAGTGGGCGGATGGCTGCAGGGCCGAGTGGCAGCAACACGGAGGCCCCAGAGACTCCTGGGAGCGGCCTTTGCTTTAGGCAGACCTCTGGCCCAACGTATGCATCGCAAACGGCCTGCCGAGGGCTTCTGGACGTTAGCGCAGAGCCGCTCCAGCCGAAGGGAACAACGGGCACCCTGAATTGAGCACGAGTAGATTCTCACCCCAATCAACCCTTCTCCACGAAACTAGCGGAAACGAGTAGCATCGTACTTTTTTTGGCAGAGATAAAGAAATCTCTTAGCTAAGCAAGGGTACATGCGCATTTCATAATCTAAAAATAAAACAAAAATCTGTGGATTTTATGGCAGATGAAATCAGACAAAACTGGGAAAATAAATCCCACACAGGTACCGCTTCTGGAGACGCACTGTGTGTCGGCGGCTAGTTAGTGAAGGGCACCTGGGAAAGGGTCACCCGCACCCCGCCTCTGCTGGAGGAAGCCTGTGGCTCTGTGGACGGCGCTCGTCTGCTTGGAAGCTCCTGCCCACGGGGAGACAACGCGCGACAGAAAATGCTTTATGTGGCTGTGGCAGTTGGATCCATGCAAAATAAGTTCGTCTGGACTTCCGCCTCGCCTTCAAATGCTTCTCAAGGTCTCAAAGCTGCTCTCTGCAAAGGCTTGTAATCCTTAATATTTAATATTTTATATCAGTAATCTGGGATTCTAACATTTCTTCACTCTTGCTAAAAAGTATAATGTAAATTTAAAATATTTTTTAACGACAACAACAATAAATTCACATTGATACTAGGTCCTGGCTGTATGTACCATTTCAGATTTCTAAGGGAATAAAACAAGATGTGGAGGCATTCTCTCCTGAGTCCTCTCTAATTTGTGGATTTATTTTCAGCAGTGACCAGGGCTGTCATCATCACACACAGTGCTCGCAATTCCAGCCCCTGCGGTGGCACTGATGCCGCAAGAGCGATGCCGGGGTGTCCTGCTGGGGCGCTCAGCAGCGACCAACCAGCACCCGCGAAGAAACGTAGTCGAGTCACACACTGGACGTCAATATCAGCTCTTTTTCTAATAATAAGACCACAAAAGGTCATTAAGAAGCACTTTGAATAGGTCATTACTTATCTATATTTGACATATCTCAAGCCAGTTTCAGAAAGCTAAGTTTCTTAGAGCATTCAACCAGACCAGACAACTTATTGACAAAAACATAAGCGCTAGCAACAACACTGAAAAGTCTTTACAAGGTCAGTACTCAATCCACGGCCTCAACAGCACAAAATGACTTGTGCATCTTCCAGCATGTGTAAAACAAAGCGCAAATCACTGTCCCCCTCTTCACTAAGAGGACAACGAACTGAGTCCAGCCGTGTCTTACCTTGCACTATGAGGTGGACCCGAGACGTTTTGGGGTGATTGTCTGTCTGCACGGAGCAGGTGTATGGACCTTCGTCATACACATCCACATTTTGGATCATGATGCTGTACTGTGTTGGTGTGTTGACCAGGATGATCACACGAGGGTCTATGGACCACTTGTCATTTCCAGCATAGAGGATGGTGCTGCGGTTTAGCCAGGCTACCCGGGTGACCCGGTCATCTATGGTACACCTGTGAGGCACACGGGGAGAGGATGGGAGGGGAGGCAAGAAGATGGGCGAGGGAAAGAAGAGGAAAAGAAAGACGGGAAACATCATAAATGTAGTGGAGCACATCAAGTAGTGACTGAAACAAATAACACAGCACTAATAGGAAACAATCAATCATTGAGGAAACGTCCTACCTATATGGCAGGTGAGGCACAAATTATCCTCAAGAACAGTTGATACAAAATCATTTCCATTTGATTTACGGGCATATTCTGCCACTGCTTTTGCACGCAATTGCTCTCACCCCGAGGCTTACGTGAGAATTAGCTTATATTTCCTCCACACACTCATCACCTTGTGGGAGAAACGGCCCAGCGGCACCAGGGAAGGAGAGTGGATCAGTACAGTATTTCAAATAGGTCACAGATAATCTACAAAGCAAATACTTAACTTGTAGTTAATCAAAACTTGGACCTATCTGCTGCCAGAGCTCCAGGTGGTGCTCATCTCCGTGTACCCCTAAGCCACCGAGAGGCTGCAAACCAGTTTGTTACACTATAAAATTCACCCGGGAAATCCAGCAGTATTTCAGGGCATCAGGGCTGCCTCTTAAGGTCTCAGGGGGAGAAGGACATTATCAGTAGCATCTCGGTCCCTTTGGGCACTGTTCTCTATGGCCGATGGAGAGCAGGGTGTTATTATCCAAGCAGGGAGCACATCTTACCCTCGCTCCCCAACCACGGAGGTGTCAAATGCAATGAAATTTGCTTGTCTGGGTGTATGGCCTGCAGACTGCCAACCCTCATGCAGAAATACATGTGCCTGCTGGTGCAGAAACCATCTGCAGGTGTGCTGGGCACTGAGAACTGAGAGCAGAAACAGGAGCGAAGGGGAGCCCCGCGGGGCCCCAGGTGTGCCTGCACCACGGGACACGGGTGCATCTGCTGACAGACAGCAACCTTGTGGTCCCTGCAGTGAGAGGAGCGGGGAACATGTTGCCTCTAACATCACAGAATGAGAAGGCCCTGATTCACTGATCCGGTCTTGTACCTGGCCTGCAACAGAGGGCCTGGGGCAGGGCATAGGAGCCAGAGGAACACAGAGCAGCCCTGGAGGAGACCGCAACGGCTCAGGACCATGAGGCGTCCAGAAGACAGCTCACTAGGAAGAGCAAAGTGCTGAGCCTAGGGAGGTCCTGTCTCGGGTAAGTGGGAGGAAGCGAACAACGCTAGGTTTGCTTCATCAGGGTCCTCTTGTACAGGCCCACCTGCATTCAGAGTGGGCATGGAGGCTGGGAGGTAGGGGTGCACGGTAGGTAGGTCTTCTCAGAGAGATAGCCAGACACTATTCTGAGGTTTTTAATGTACTGTTCTCTCAAGCTACACAAACAAAATAAGCACATTTTAACATGCAAACAACACCAAGTAAGTAACTCATGCGTATATATTACAAAGATCGCAAAGGTCTGCCAACTGTTCCATCTCCACCAACTCCAAATTTGGGAGTAGCCTGCTACTTTTTCTTTCTTGTGTACATCTACTCCCACAGATAAAGCTAGTGAAGATTTCTTTTTACCTAAGAGACACTCATGTACAAATACAACTTTTTATTTGTCAATGACCATGAGCATTTCTATGCGCCAGTTGTTACACATGTAATTTAACAGCATTTCCTGTCTGTGTTCAGTGTGGTGACTTCTGGGCGCCCCGCTGCATTCGGTGTCTGGCCTGATAACTTAGGAGCCACGGAACGCTTCCACCCCACTCGCACAGGCAGGCGTTGGTACAAGGCACACCCCTACGTCCTGGGGCCCGTGTTGAATTTTATACTCAATCTGCCTCATTCTACAGTAATTTTATATTTTCCTTGTGAAGGCTGAAGCCCCACAGGCCTCTCCCTGCTCCTCGCGCTCCAAGACCTTTCTTAGGGGAACATGCATGGTGATCCCTGCAAGCAGGTTTCTTTCTCTAGTGGGAGAACTCCAGGCAGCAGGGAGCCTGTTGGGGTAGTGGAAGGTAAGGGGACAGAGTGAAGGGGTCACCTTCCAGTCCTGACAGCTACAAAAATCTCAGGGACTAAGTGCAGATGAATATCCTGGCTTTAGCTTTGGTATGTTCTGCAAGCTTATGCACATTTTTGTATTATTATGATGAGTGTATTTGGTACAGGGCCTCACAATGTAGCTTGTGCCCATAGTGATCCTCCTGTCTGCAGCCTCCCCAGTGCTGGGATCACAGGTGTGCACCACCACGCCTGGACTCTGTGGCCAGATCTCGGGCAGGGCTGGCACAGCATGTGGTGACATAAAAGCTGGTAAAGTGACATAAAAATTTATTTAAACTACAGTTTAAATAAATGATTTATTTTTGGTGTGTAGAAACAATTTTCATTTTTAAACAAGAAATGTAACAAAATGCTTTTATATGGGTGAACATATATGTACGCATACATATATATGTACATATGTGTATATATAATACATATGTAGTAGAAACTTAAAAACTACAATAACTGATAATCATAATTCTGAACACTCAAAGACCATCAATAAGCTTTTCTTTTATTTTTTTTTAAATGTTTTTGGTTGTTACAGGGTCTCACTAGGCAGCTAGAACTCATACTCATCCTCCTATTTTCAGCATCCTCAGAGCTGAGATTACAGGCATGCACCACCATGCCTGGACTCTGCGGCCTGCTCAGCCTACCCTGTGGTTGGAGCTGGTGTGGCATATGCTGCTAGGGATCGAACCGCGGTCCTTGTGCTTGCCTAGTTTGCCTAAAAAGGTGCTTTATACCTCTGAGCTATCTCGCCAGGCCAAGCTTTTCTTTAAAAGTAAAAAGAAAAAAATGTGTTGTCCAATGTTAAATTTGAACTTGCACTTTCATTAAATATTCTCTATCTGCAGATATATTTTACACTAAAAAATCTTCATTGATCACCTAACTTATTTATTGCAACAATAGAGAAACACAATGAAATTTAAATTTCTTTTATGGGCTATGATCATAAACCTTTAAGTAATAATATTTGCTCTGAAAATGAGTTATCAGTACAAATATAAAATTGATAAAGCAACATAACTTCATTGTACATTTTAATTAATAATGAAACACAAAAGCTATCTTTTACTGTAAATATAACTATTAATTACCTTGATAGGCCTTCTTATGACACTACAAATAAAACCATGATTTACTGCTAGAATGAGATGGTGTTTAGGATAAACTGTGTTCTTATATTTTCTTTTAGATAAGCCTCATTCACAAAAACAGAAATGGAAAGAAGAATTTTGTGTAGCAATGACACTCAGTTCTTTGAATTCTTTCTATGGTATATGGCAAAAATTCACACAGTAAAAACCTTCAAAAATTACTCTAATCATCTCACAGCTGACAACTCAATTAGTGCTTTTCTCAACTTCTTTTAAAGCAATTGAAAAATACCTTCTTTGCAAAGAGGTTTGTAACCTAGTATTAAGTTCGTTCCATTTCTCAGTGTCTGTAGAATATACTGATAACACTTTACCTGGTCTTATCAAATGACTATAAAAGATTTCTTTTGCAAGAAGCATCTTGTTTAATGAATGAACTCAGAAATACTGGGGTGGGAGAGCAAAAATGCTGTTTATCCCAGTCTCCATATGCCCCACTGGCCCCACCCCAGGGCTGGCTGAGCTGGCCACCAAGACCAGGCATGGTGGTGCACACCTATAATCCCAGCACTGGGGAGGCTGAAAACAGGAGGATCACTAGGAGTCTGAGCTGTGTAGCGAGACCCTGTGCAAAATATATAAAGTAACTTTTTTAAATGCTGCTTATTGTGATATACTAAAGTATCCTGGCCTCTGTAAGCAAACCTCTCTCATTGCTGAGCTCAATTTGATGACAGAGAACTCCGTACTTTTTTGGCTCCACTTTTGTGGGACACCCTCAAGAGCGACGTCCCATAAGTAACAGGAGCATGAAGGCTGCAAGTAAGGAAACGCTGTCTTCTGGCCAATACCCAAAGACAGCAATCAGAATGTGAGGGTAAACTGCAATCCAACTGTAGATGCTTCCTCAAGCAGGGCAGCTGGAGGGACTTTGAGGTGTGTGTCTCTAAAAACACCGCTGTCTTCTGTAGCCTGCACAGCCGAGACACAAGGGGCATGTGACAGGCGAACTCACCCAGGGTCTAGTAGGGACTTGCAACTTTGCAATAGGTCAGCTGAAATCCACCCTTCTTGGCCAGAGCATGCTCTGAGGGCCCTGGCCACATAGCCCTGGAAAGGCTGTCACCTCTTGTGGGAGCATACTCCTGGTGGAACATGGCCATCCAACTTATATACTCTTTTTTCCGGGCTGCATTAGTGAGCATGGAGTGTAAACAGAAGGTAGAATCTGTAAAATGCCACCTTTGATGGGGCAGAGAAAGTTCATACAGTTCACACAGCTCCAGAGCCCACAAGCAGCAAGGAAACTCAGAAGAACACTGAGGCTGCTTGGGGAGAGCTACTTTCCTCCTAACACAACTGTGTCTCAGAAGAGAGCAGAGTTCCACGGCTTCTCACTTTCTTGTGTCACCATCGGGCCCTCCACAGGTGCTCTTAACAGCAGGAAAGAGAACTCAGACAAGGACTTTGAAAGCCTGCTGAAATGTTCTTCCAAACTCTGCTTCTGTGTGAAGCAGTGTCCCGGACCCTCTTTATCTAGTAGCATGGAGTAGACAGCTATTTCTGATGTTAACTAAGACGGGGCAAGAGGTGAGTTGAAGGAGGTTAATGACAACTCTCTGATCTCTTGGAAACTCCAATATATGAAGTCCTTACATTCCAAGCCAATTTTATCTCCTCCTCCTTGAAAAAATTAGAACTCATTAAAAGTTTATTATAAATAACCTCTACAATTAGGTGTTACTTGTATCATTCCAGGAATGGTTTACACATTTTTGCATACATGAAACAATTAATTTCACATAACTGACCTTTGGGAAATATTGTGTATTATCCACATTTTACAGATAAGGAAACTGAGGCACAGAGA